AGAGTGCAAGTCTGAGAGTGCAAGTCTGAGAGTGCAAGTGTCTAAGAGTGCAAGTCTGAGAGTGCAAGTCTGAGAGTGCAAGTGTCTGAGAGTGCAAGTCTGCAGCCAGACCCTTCTCGCGTGCCGAAGAACTGCACACATGCGCTCAGTGTGTTCTCTTGCAAAGCCAGCAGAGACATGCGACAACAATTATCTACAACAATCTATGCATATCACCACTTAAATACCACTACATTTGCACTCATATATAACTGTAATACAGTGTTGTTTTGCTTAAATGACAGTAATACAAATGTAATTATTTTAGATTTTATCCCTGAGTAGATGTAACCATCATTAAAATTAAAATGCTAAATTAGAATCCATTAAGTCTTAATTATCCTAAAATATAGGTGTTATTCTCTCTAAGCAAAAAAAAAAAAAGATGTTGTCATGAAATATTTTTGTCATGTGATATATATATGTCTGTGTGTGTTATAAATATTATTTATGTAAGTGATTTCTGTTAGTGTGTTAATGTGACTGAATTTTTGTTCATTGTTTTGTCTCTGTAGGGTATAATTTACTGCGAAGTAAATTCAGGTAAGAAAACCTAGATGGATGTGTGAATGAGTATATGACGGATGTTTCACCATTACCGGCAGAACTGTGCACTTCACTGCCTTCATTTGTCTAACTGTCTTGTCTTAGGTGGCCACACGTGCATTCAGGATGACGAGCATGTCTATGTGAGCAGTCTAGACGCCTACATCGTGCAGTGCCAAAAGCAGCAGACCTGGAGCTTGTGCTTGAAAGTCCTGGTGAACGTCACAGTCAGAGGTGCGTCATCGTAGTTGGTTTGGTTTCTCTGACCAGCAGGACTATTTCTTGAGGTGTGTTGATGCTGTGTTAGATGCAGATCAACCTGTGACGGGTGATGGCAGTGGTGAAGAGGCAGAGGTAATGCATGGAGGCGCTCATCAAGGAGACCTCGACAACATGACGTCTGCTGCCGCCGCTGTTCGTGTGTGTTACACGTACTCTTCACAGAGCCACTTCAGCATGCTCCGGTTCACAGTCCGTTCTTCAGCGTTTGATGACAAAGCTACACTGCAGGTCAACAGATGGTCTATCTATCTATCTGTCTGTCATCACATACCAATGGTCTACCAAGCAGAACACCTTAGCAACACTCTAGCAACCACATTTCAACTTTCAAATCTCTTTCATATCTCTCTTAGATCTGCTCAAGTATTCAGATAAGATAATGTTTGCATACCTTCAAACTGCAAGTTCTCTCAAGACTAGACTTACAGCCTCAGCTTCAGACGTTTTTCAAATTTTGGGCAAGGCTTTGTCAAGCTACCATTATATTTAAACCTTTTGTAGTTGCACTGGATGAGCTGATTGTTTCAGGTGTATGTGTTGTAGGTGTGGATGTCTTTAGTGGTGGATATACCGGAGGCAGAGCTCGGCAGTTCTGTCGTAGTCCATTCTTCATGCACTAACTCATGCACTCATGCACAAACTAAACTTGTCGATCTTCCTTCAATAGAGGAAGGTAAATATGCCATAAAACATGCACGCCTCTTTCACTAAGTATTTGAGACACATAAATGACTGCTGAACATTCGTTGATGGATGGCACCAATGCATTTTTCTCTTTCAGTGTGTTCCAAGGGTTTAGATGCCATCTTCTGTAAGGGTAAGTTAACAGGTGTCCAGTTTAACTGTCTAGTTTATGTGACTGGTAGAGTGACAATAATAAAGTTGCAGATCACGGGTTCGATTCCCAAGGCATCATGCATCCTGATGAAGCGTGTAGTTTGAACGCACTGTAAAGACTAGTTCATACTGCTTCAGTGAATGCCAACAAACTTTGTGTAAAAAGCAGCAACTGTAGCTACCCTGAAACCAAACACTATCCATTATGGAAAAGTTTACCCAAACGAGAAAATTCAGTCATATCGGGCAGGTCAGGGGAAAGTCACAGGTCACTGACGTAGTGTCATAAAAGTACATATTGTTTATTTCTTATGAGTATGAAGTATTATATACAGTACATGTAGTGGGGTTTTTCAAATATTTCAGCAACAATAAAAGTTAGATTCTTCAGCGTCACACCCTGGCAGCATATCATGAATATATCCCAAGAAAACATGACTTTAAAAAAAAAAAAAGTACTTATGCGAGTTGACAATTGGCTAAGTGTGCAATAGCACCAAAAGATAATTTGGGTGGCTCGAGAAATTCCTTTAAATCGGTAATTGCATAATTTACATATGATGTATTTACAGATCATACAGTGCCCTCCACAGTTGATACCCTCGGCAAATATGAGCTAAACGAGCCATAGAAAAATGTATCTTTCATTCAAAAATCTAACTTTTTATTAAAAAGTTGTATTTGTAATTAAAAGAATATATATAGACTCAGCAAAAAAAAAAAAAAAGGTCTCTCACTTCCAACTGCTTTTATTTTCTGCTAATTTCTTAATGTGTAAATATTTGAATATTTTTCAGAAAGGGAATAAGAAAGTGTGGGGGGCGGGGTGAGCATCTCATCCTCATGATTATGGCATGTTATAATGATCAGGTGATCAGGAACCCTGGACATCTTTCTTCTAGTGATTTTGAGTCAGCAGAAAGGTCTTACTGTCCAAAATTATTATAACTGTGAGCTTAATTGCCTGCTGGAAGGTCCACGGCCCAGTTTTAACTTCATGACAGGGTAATTTAGATGCTGATTTAATATCTGTTGGCACTTGATGGACCATGTATCCCAACAAGATGTCCAGCGCCTCCACCATACTTTATCACAAAGCTGGACTCAGTAACTAGGGAGGAACCAGGAATCCAAGAAATGCAAGGAACAAAACTGAGCACACCAACAAGACATCCATACATGGACAAGACCTGAACAAGAGCACAAGAAAACACAAGGGCTTATATACACTGGGGTTAACAAGACTAACTAGAAAAAAGTAAAAGTAGTATTTAAAGCACCACCTATGGTCTGATCGGGGTGTGTGTGTGTTTTTACAGTCTGTTTTGCTCATATTTACCAAGGGTGCCAATATTAGTGGAGGACACTGTAAATGCTTATCTGATTTAGTCAAAGAGGTTTTTTCATAGATCCGTTGGACTCATCAGTCATCAGTGGACCCCTGTGACCTCCTCTCATTGGCTTTGTTTTCCAGTCCCACCCAAGCTGCACAAGAAAACTGACCATGCGACAGGAGCAATAAAACTGTATGTGGCCAGTGCAGATGAAGAGCGTTTCCAGGAGTTTTCTGCATGCCAGAAGCTGGGCCGGAAGGGACGCTGTCTTACGGTGGAATGGGTATGTCACGCTGCTCTATAATACATTTGCACTTAATTGGTTCATTTAAATTTTAACTTCTTTCTCTGTCTCTTCCTTAATGTCAAGAATAATGCCAGCCATGAGTTTGAGCTTTTACCCAGCTCTGTCGCCCCCTGTCTGTGCTTTGAGGTAATGTTTATTTACATTTATTCATTTAGCAGACACTTTTATCCAAAGCGACTTCCAAGCGATAGATCATAAAGAGGCAATAAAACACAACAAGTGCTTGTTTGACAAAGTTTCAGGCATGGCTTAGAATAGCACAAGCTAGAACAGGATGGGGTTAAGGAAAAGTTGAATTATTGAATTAGTAAACAAATAAATAGAAAAGCATCATTAAAGTCATGCATACAAACATACAGAATAGATTTTTTTATATAAGTAACACTGACTAAAGATGGAAAGCTAATAGAGCGATGTTTATATTTGAACATGCGGAAACTATGTAAAAACTGTCTACCGAGAAAGTAAATATTAGTTATGTGGGAAGCTAGTATTATTATTATTGTTGCAGTTTTTCTTGCTCTTTAACTGATGCTTATTCTCTTTCTACTTTTGCATAGATTTGGGGAAACTTTCCTCGAACCGAGTATTGTCCATTTTTGAATGAAACGGGTATGGCATTCAAATATATTCAGCCGCACCTTGGTATAGTCAGAGTTTACAGGCTGGAAATGGCTTTCTAGTAGGAAAGTACTACTAGTACTACAGTAGTAGGAAAATTCAGACTTTTTTCATGTTGAACTGAAGAGAAGGAAAGACACAAGTTTCAACCTCCATCTCACAAGCTCTACAGATTTCCACTGTAAGCACATTTAAAATCAGAAAATGAGACGGTTTTGTTTGTTTTGGAGGAAATCATGGAAATGATATTCTTCTGTAATCTTGCATGCGACAGATGCTGTCCATAGAGCGTCAGCTCAGGAGATAACAATGCAGTCAGTGGCAGTGCAAGCACTGTAACATCATGAGTGTTTCGCTCTGGTTTCGTTCTCAGCTGTCTCAGGTGCCAGCGTGTCCGTGTCTTTGGCAGAGACTGGAACGCATCTCAAGGCTCTGGTCTGGAGCCTCAGCGCCCCCTGCAGGCTGGAGGCTCAGCTGTGGTTGTGTAGGAAGGGCTCAGGACTGGACAGCCGCTGCCATGCGGTCAACAGCAGATCTCAGGTCCACACCCGGCTGGACGACAGCTGGAAGGAGACTCAGCACAGACACTGGGTGCGAACATCTGCTTGAGATGTCAAATATGGTGCAGGACAAGTCACACGGGGAAGTTTAATAATTCGAGTTAGGGGGTCATTCAAATCACAAGAACGAGAACTGTATAAGCTATAGTAATCATGAGGCTTGACATGACAGTATAAGTAAACTCAAGTGTGCTTCTGAAGTATACTTCTCTTACACTTATTTTTCTTTCATCTGTTGCAGCAGTTAAAAGGAGAGTTTTTACAAGTGGAACGCCATCCTTCATTGTGTGTGCAGGTACCTAATGTGTATTTTATCACGTTTGCAGTTCATTTCTGACATACCTGTGTGTTTTGGGGAACTGGCAGCGTTGTGTCTCTTGTTCAGGTTAAAGTGGCAGGAATGGATGGTTTCCTGGGACCAGTATGTCCTTTTGAAGGCAAGAGCTCACATCCATTAGTCCTGCATAGAGAGCA